TGCACCTCCATGAAGAGCTTCCCCGAGTCCTTGCCCGCACCCCGCCATGATCTCGCCCTTCCCACCCGGATGAAACGGTATATACGGCGTGATGTTGTACACCTTCCCCTTGTACGACGTCCATGCGTCGACACCCTTCCGCCCACTTGTGCGCCTTCAGCATCGACGGCGTCACCCGGATGTAATGCGGCGGCAGATTGGCGCCCCGCAGGTTGTTGTTCGGATTCGACGTCAGCGCGGCCCAGTCCAGAGGCGAGTGCCCCGGTTCGAGAACGACTTTTCGCGAGGAGTTGCGCTGAGCGGGCGCAAGGGTACTGCTGGTGGGACGGCTCGATGGGGGAACGCGGAGGGACGAGGCCGCAGAGGGCGGTGGGCGGAGAGGAGTGGATGACTTCAGTTTGGGAGGGACGAGAAACTGGCCTGCACTGGTTTGCGAGGATGTGGGTTTTGGTTGCTGCTGCTGCTGCGGTAGTCGAGGCGGGGGAGGAGCCATGACGGAGGAGCTGTTCGACGTTGCAGATGGAGACGCAGACGTGGAATTCAAAGGCTCCTGCTGCTCCTGCTCCTGCTCCTTTGCAGGCCCATTTGAAGCTGACCGCTCGTCCGACTTTTCCTTTGTGTTATCGCCATCCAAGTTCAGCGCCGGTATCGGATCTGCAGGTGCAGCCGTCGCAGATGCCTTTGGAGTCGTCTGGGACTCGCTGTCGCTGCTTTCTTTCTCGATAGGTTCAGCATCAGCCGGAGGTATCGATCCATCCTGAGCGTCCTTTTCCGACGGAAAAACGGGGGATTCTTCGGCTGCCTTGGGCTGCGATCGAGAGAAAAGACTGAAGTTCCACATGCTGAGTGGATGCCAGTAGAGCAGAAAACCTCCAGCGACAACGACGGCTCCAAGACTCACCACCCAGCCCAGGCAGACGGGCTGTCGATGCAGCAGGCTGGACGTTATCGTGTTTTGAGATCAGACAATCGCGGGGAGTTCTAATATTAGTTCAAGTCATGGCGGAGATTGGCGCGTGCGAGATCTGCTGACGTAATCAGATCTATACACCTTGACAAAAATATAATTGTTTTGGATATTGATTTTTTTTGTATATTATGGGCTAGTTTGATACTAAATATACTAATAAAACCAAGTTAAGGATAGAAAATTTAAATATGATTAATCACTAGGTTTCTTTAGCACTAATTTTCCATCTTCACACTGACAATTATATGGGACGATATGACCTTTTTTCGATCCTCTCGTGTAGTGATACAGAAAATTATCTCGAACACTCGTGAGAGAACTGTCATTCAAGATACAGCTCCAACATACTAATTTAGTTGCTTCTTAGTTGCTGTTCTGTTTATTGGCTGATAATGGTTCCTGCCGGAATTCGAGTCCGGTCCTGAGTTCATCTGTCAGCTTATGATGTCAGTCCCCATCACCCGCCACGGTCTGCATTTGCCAGAGCGAAACTGCGTTTGCGGCCATGGCTAGAACCAACTTTCATGCGTGACCTGCATGTTGGAATACCTGTCTCTGTGATATGATGCCAAATGTTGCGTACAACGATCATGGCTGCTGCTGATACCGTCCTCCTCTTCGACGCCGGCGCCGGCACGGTAAGATGCCTCTAATCTTTAGAGATAAGACAGGACGCTCATCAATATTAGGCTCAAGGAGGACGACTCACCCAGGAGGATCGCTATGTGCTGCTCTTCCCCGACCAGTTCCCGGCCAAGACGACGGACAAGATTGCCCTGTTTGGTGTCTATGATGGCCAGTGAGGATCCACACTCGTCTGATATAAATCTATATCTTCTCACGTAACGTATAGTGGATCTGATATGGTGTCCGAACACGTCAGACGCCATCTGCCGAATCTCCTCTCCAGCCGTCCTGAATTCGAGGATGGCGATTACGAGACGGCCATCGCCAAAGCCTTTGAAGACGAAGACGCCATCCTGCTGGAGAACGTCATGTCAAATGACACTGAGCCCATCGTCTCCGGGTCGACGGTTGCTGTGTGCATTGTCAACCTGACCAAGGGCGTTCTGGTAGTTGGAAATGTTGGCGACTCCCATATTATGTTTGCGCAGCGGGATCCTGCGACGGAGACCTTATTCAACATGGTGAGCACTCATTCATTGTCGAAGACAATGCGAATCTGACTGGTCGTGTAGGAACGTCTGACAAAGGCACACAAACCGGGCACTGCCTCGGAAAAGCGTCGTATCGAAAAAGCTGGAGGGGCTGTCCACAACTCCAGCGGGACTCCGCGAGTTGGTAAGGAGGCAGCATATGACACAAGATGAACGCACCCCGGCTAATCGCTATAAAGGCACGCTGAACATGTCCCGCGCCCTGGGCGACCTGCAATACAAAAACCCCGTCAACACGCTCGACATCGACGGCAGCACGAAAAGCAAACGAGCGAGCGCGGCCGCCCCCGAAGCCCGCGGCAACTTTCTCACCAACGAGCCGCATCTGCGGAGGGTGCAGCTCGACCGCGACAGCCGCTACGTGCTGCTGTGCTGCACCGACGGCGTGTCCGACATCACCGACGAGAAGATGCTGATGGAGCATGTCATGAAGGAGTTTATGCGGGGGCAGCGAGCGACCGATATCGCGAAGCAGGTCGTCAGTCTGACGGCTGGTAGACCGGGAAGCGATAATAGCACCTGCGTGCTGGGGTTTTTTGATGGGATCAATTCATAGGGGATTTCCATCGGAAATGTTCCCGTCTTGAGAGGTGGAGGAGTTGGTTACCGTAAATCAAAAGTTGATTCAGCGTAGATATACAGTACATCCAGATAGATAGACATAGACAAATTGCATGAGTTTATAAGCGTACATCAATCTTTAAGAGAACCTGGAGGAAGACTACTGCACAAAATTGACCATGTTATAACTTAGTTCGTTAGAGATGATATATATCGTCAAGACCGAGAAAGCAGTCGTCGTCGTTTACTTGTGTGCCAGGCCGATAATCAGGCAGTTTCAAGACCTAGGGCTTAGGGCCGGAGGCAAGGTCTGTCGGATACGCTGGCATCTTGTAAATGCTGCGTCTACATTCAATCCATTAGCGGACAGATATGTACTTTAAATTACAGTATCTGCAGTTTAATGCAGAACTATGCTATGAATCTATCCTGACATATCTCCCTGCTCACAGCCTAGTAAACGAATGGCCTATGGCAGACACCTTTGCAAACGGGATCAAGCTGTCCATTCCCGCACCCTACAGCCATGAATCTAGTCCATACACCATACTCCGTATGCATAATTAGACTTGGACTGAGAGTGAAACGGACGGAGAAAAAAAAGGAAACGGGAACTTGCATACGTACTGTACTGTACACCCCTGTAACCCCGTAGTGTAGGAGATTTTCAAAGAGGGAATAAGTACCATTCCTTTAGCGAGAAGATTTAATGACAAACCGCTACATCTGTAGACAGTACAAAGTATCTGCCCGGCATCCCCCGGCTGATTTGTAGGTAACCCTCCAGTGGGAAGGAAATCTCCGACTCCTACCATACCTATATTGGTACTCAGTCTGGGAAATCTATGTCGGTTACCTACTTTGGTATCGGAAAGTGACTGCACCAAGCCAGTAATCGCCCCGGGAGGTGAATGATCCCTGCTAGGAGCCCGACATGGTGAAGTGAAGATTGATACGGAGAGGGAAATTCCTGTTATCAGCCACCCGGCCAGCAGCTAGCCAGTGAATACCAAAGGAGAAAGTCTATGAGTCAGTGAATGAAGGAAGGGAATTAAGCGAGGCTGTCTCTGCTAGGTATAAAAGCCTCCTTTCCCCTCTCTCCCTCTCTTCCTCTCTTCCTTCTCCTATCCCTTTTCCTTCTCCCATCCTTCGTCTTTTCTTCAGTATATATACCCGACCCATCTATACGTACCTAATCTGGTACATATCTTATCTATCCGGTCTTATACTATAATATATTATTATAATATAGGAACTTCCATCAACCCTCACCAGCGTCCTTTCCTCTCGCACAGCCTCATTGCATTGCTTATGCCATCATACCCTGTATGAGAAAAAAAATCGCTCTTCCTTCTGTTATATATCCAACATGACAAAGCTCTTGCCTTACTATCATATTTTGGCTCTTCCAACATGCAAAAGACGTGCAACCGGCCGTCTGCTACGTTTGGACCCTATTATGGTGAGTACTCCTATCTTCGATTAACGTATTTCTCTGTGTCCGTGCCTGAGTCTGCTAACTTGATATATTAGGTCCAAACTGAGCTCGCACACATTAGTAGTGTGCAAGGGGTCAGCCAAGTCATTGCGTCTGGCGTAAGTGATCACCAGAAGATGAGGGCGAGTTTGTAACTGACATACAGTAGCCCCCCGGCCTTCATTAAGTTCGCCTGCAAGGTGTTTTCCTGGGACATGTGGTTCTTCAAAATTCACAACAGCCACCAAAGTATGTAATAAGCATTGCTATAAATTACTGCAAGTGTTTGTCTGGTACTAACTACTACCTTCTGCTAATACAGGTCCAAAGCAAAGGAAATCCAGCAAATTGGTTACCAACGTATTGCACAGCCTTTACAGTCACGCCTTCGCGACATTCATCTTTTTTTCTTTCTATTCACCCATTTTTTTTTTTGGCTGCGCCGTCTGAAAATGAGTCGTCGCAGTGCCAGCATGGATTTTTCTGGTCCTTCAGGCAACCGCGTCCTGGATAACTGACAGGATTCTTTCTTATCTCCATCGAGCCAAATTATTCAGACGAAGCCGGTCGGGTGGTGAATTCTTGCCCTTTAGAACACTTCGCAATTTTTTTTTTTCAAAAGAAAGTGGCTTCTTGTGAGTATTTCCTTCCTTCTCTCCGTTTCGCAAGGAACTCCGTTCGCAACGCTAACTTTCACAGTGTCAGTGTCTGCTCAGTACATATACATTTTCTTGGTTGATGACCTTGATATCACGTTCGTCAAATCCCGTTCGTCAAATCCCGTTCCGGTCGTGTATACACTAGGCTGCAGCTGGCTGTAGCGAACAGAATGCGCAGCGAATACCTGTGTGATGAGATTCTCTGGAAAGGTCAGTCTGTCCATCTCCGACAAATTTTCTATCTCTGACGCAGAGAAGACCAGAGACATCGGATATCCCAACTGATCCGCCTTTCACTCGCCCCCTACTGGAGGAGGGAGGCTTGATGTCTCCCAGACGCGGAAGACGAAGCAATTTTTTACCACATGCCCTCTTAACACACATATTACCGAAAGGCCTTCACAGTGCGGGAACAGGGATATCCCGCTGTTGTAGAAGCGTCGCAGACGTGGAAGAAGTCGGAAGAGCGGAAATTGTCAAATGTGTCCACCCGACAGACACCTCGTCGAGGCTTAATACCCTGTGGAAGAAGGTGGTCCATGAGCCAGATATCGCCCTGTTGTGGGATGGTGAGATAACTGATGAGACCCTTAAGAAATATCAAATCCAGCGCATCCAGTGTGACTTTGAGAGACTTGACGATGAACATGCGAACCTGAGCCTAAAACCACCTATTATTTTTCATCCACTCCCTCCTGAAGTGACCGGCTGCTGGCTCTAGAAGGGCTCATTGAACACCGATTGCTACGGCCAGGTACAGAACCAACCCTCCCCCGGGCGACGAGCTTGCAGCATGGCATCAGCTAACCAGATGGCAGATCTACACAAAGAATCGCGACTTGAATCGGCAGGGCCACTTCACCCGAAATGCATTCCTGCTGCACATCGTCTCCTTTGCCGCAGCCACTAGCGCTGATTAGCCAAATCAGCCATATCTCACTTCTCTGCAATGTGCGCGATGTTTCAACCCGAGCATCTTGTGGTGGAGAGCGGCTATTCTCACGACATGACGAATCGGCCCAAGAAGCCTTTCTGGACGTATGACTTCCCCCTGAAAGGGCAAGGAAAACACGGATCATTTACAAAGATTCCACCGAGGCCCGTTTCTCACGAAAGACTTTCACCTTGTTCTCCTGGGTATTGAAATCCCCTTTCCTCTTGTCAAACTGGGGGAAAAACAGTATTAAAACGCTCAGTTGCTCTTTTCGAGGATTGAAGAGCCAAAGACCGCGCCAAATAAGCCACAACCGCAGAAAAGGAACAAGAAGTGAAGTACGACTGCGCAGGGCTCCAGCGAGGTTCAAGTGAACAACTCCCAGAAACGCTGGCCCGGGCCGATCACTTGCTCCATCCACGGACATCATGAGGAAGAGAGATATTTGTATGTATGTACATACATGTCCAGGTACATGTACGACAGATACATGCGCCTCCGTCTCTTGAGGCTGATGAGCCCCAAGAGTCTGCGTCTTGCGGCCTAGGCTGCTGTCAAAGTCTTATTCTCATGCTTACTGACGGGGTGAGACGCATCAATGTATGCTTGCCCGGTGGTGTCGATACTGGAGACTCTGTGCTGGTAGAGTACAGGCACGAATCATGGTCAATGGGATTTACCTTAGAGGCCTCCCTGGTGGGCCTCGAAGAGGACGATCAGGTCGATATCCACATTAGGCGCATAAATCCAAATCCATGGAATGCACAACAAGCAGCCCTTCGATTGAAAACACCGGTGCATTCCGCTTTTTCACGCTGTCTGGGTGAATCTTCCAGCCATTCACAGAGCTGAATCTCAATCTCCTCTCCTCAGTCATGGGATTGATGCCAGTGGCTTTAGCCTTGAAGAAGAACTTTGGGAAAACTGCATGTCAGAAGGACCAAATAACGACAAGCTCCTGGCCTACCTACCTCAGTGTCACCCCAAATCGACAAGCCAGCGATGATCGCCAGTTCAGTCTTTTATGAACATGATCATCATGGTGATTACCATGGTAGAGAGGCTGTAGAACACCAAGCTATGAGGATCTTGCCACTGTCGAGCAAGATGGCTTCAATCTGAACGCCCAACAGCGGCTTGTGTCGAGGCCCCTGCGCGAAGTCTTCCTGGTCCTGTGGCTGTCATCCAGAGTCCGGCAGGGACGTATGACTCGGCCCGCTATCTCGCGTCGGAAGATCTCATTATCGGCCGCCTTACGATGGACGACGTCGGGGATCAGCCCCCCTCTCTCCGCGCGTCGCTCATCGATCCTACCGAGGCCGATGTGAAGCATTATGAAGAGCTCACCAATGCGCTGAACAATACGGCCTTCCAACGCGAGAACGAGGCTGCCAAGACTACCTGGTCATGTTTAACTGCGCTTCCGCTGCTGATGCACCCACACCGAGAGACTGGCAAACGGCACCAGGTGCTTATTGCTAGTGCATCGAATGACGTGGTCAATGACATTGCCGCCAGGATGGCAGCCCTGGTGGCCGAGCAGCTGCCTGGACAGGACTGCATTGTGGTCCGCTCCTGTCTGGGAAGAGGTCTATACCTCCTTCTCGGTATAGAATGACGCTGCCGCTGCAATGTTGCAGTGAGAGCCACCAGTCTTCCAACGCTTGAAGGTAACCATGTGGCTCATCAAACAGTTGGATACAAAGCTTGTTGAAAAGATCGATCTCTCACCGACGCCTACCGATTACGCTGATGAGACATACGAGGCGATAAAACGGATAGTCACTGGTGGTGACATACTTAATTTTTTTTTCTAGTACAAGACTAAGAAATCTCGGTTATTCTTCTTTTTTTTTTCGTGGAGCAATTTTGACCATCGACGGAACAATACACAATACACAGCACACCAGATCAGAAGTAGCAGCAAGGAGATTGACCGCATCAAGCAATTCATTATCCAGACCTGGAACCAATGGCACGCTAATGCAGTCTGGGAGTTCATCCAGAGTAAGTGGATGGCCGAGCAGGAGAGAACTCGTCCACTGGGGCCTCGGATTCGATGATATCACGTCCATGTGCAGGTGTACTTGCAGATTTACGTTTTTCATAAGATTGGACCACGCATACCGATGTCGCTATTGTCAAGTTACATGAAAAGATGAGTCAAGTTCGTTAACGAAATCCCAGAAGACGACTGTTAGGAGGAAGTCCCGTTCTGCTGCAGGACAGCAGGTAGCCCATCGCTGTGGACGGGCCCGGTATGACTTCAGCAGAGGTATTAATACCTCCTGCATCAGCCCGCGCTGCTTGATATCTACATAGACAATCCTCGCTCCGTACGATCATCATAGCTTCACGTCCGTGAGCTGGACGAAGACAGTTTGGAGAAAGGGGTTGAAGGTGTACTCTGACAGGGCTGTGTTCAAACCAACATGGACAGCATCGAGGATCCAGAAGCAAGTTTATACAGGGCTCTTTCATCAAGCTCATCAAGCACCGGTCATAGGAGGAGATTGACCGGCAGTATCGGTTGGAAAGCTACATCGCTCTGAGGAGAGGACTAGACGACTGTCGATTCTGTCTGCATACGGTGGGCGCTTCCTCGAACTACACGCATTCCCAGGTCCGGAGGATTTCAATCCAACAACAATGGTCTGGGCCTCATTGCTAGTGTGACAATTGCAAGTGTCTTCCGGAGCTTGCGAAATATGCAAAGAAGAATCAAGCCGTTGCAAGCTGACATGCCCGTCAGGTTCTGAGCCACGGGTGCTCTTTGAAAGGCTAGAAAGCGCTTCAAACCCCTATTACGGCTTCAAATCTCGTCAAATATTGTCAATATCGTCAAATTTCAGCAAAAGTCGCGTTCATCCACATTCAAGAGAGTCGCCAACATTTTTGCAGGGAGCTACCAGGAGTGATCAACTTTGGGCCCAACCAAGATCGACAAAGCATTGGGTGGAACAGTGGAAAGTCAAGACAGCAGCGGAAGTTATGCAACATGGCATTGAACCTTCAACACCGGATGCATCCATCTTTGTCACGGAAGGATGCGGAATGCTGAGACGATGCGAGGTATGTGCATGATGGATTGGAGTAATGACTACGAGAAGAAGTTGTCTAATGTCTCTTCAAGATGCTTATTCGGCACGGATCATGCAGATGCACCAGGTGGTCATGTCCATATCTACATGGGATGGGAACAAGCTGCATGTCAGTGAGCTTGACAATGAATTTTCCTAGACCTAACTGTACAGGGCAGGCGGCATACAAGTATGGGACAAATGGGTTGGTGTTTGACGGAGCGTTGTCCTGACGTATGGGTCACAAATGTCGTGGTCACTTGGATGATCGAAGCGGATCGAGCACTCATGTCTACCGACCGCGACCTCGCCAAGCAGGCTGCCGTTTCAAGGATCCTACAGAGACTGCAGCAAGGTATGCTGTCACCCGTGCCGCATTCAATTCGTACCGTACCATCATCATCCTCTACACCACCGCAATCTGCAGCGCCAGATCTATCATCTTCAGTCTCTGTACGAACAAGACCAATTCCTATTGAAGCGAGAGTATCGAGATGCATGTTACCTAACATAAGGGAGCGACAATTCGGAAACATGTTATTAAGAAGCAAATGTGGTAAGTATCAGTCGGTACTGTCTCTGTCTGGTAGGGACTGACGTTACTAGTATTTACCTACTAGGAACAATGTCAAGGTTGTCGACGAATTGATGCGACATATCTACAAGCATCCTCCATGGTGATTACTTGCAGTACATGCAAACGTTTAAAACGTTACGTATAAAGCTGTCAGCAATAGGCTATCCTTTGCCTAATCATACCCAACCGGCGTCAATCAAAATAATAACGCCATACAACGCCAAGAAAGCGCAGTATCTGGAATGCTGAGGGACTTTCACATAGCAACAAAAGTCCCTTACGATCAGCTTATTATCCACACAGGCAGAATACCTCAATCCCAAGTCGACCCCGCGAAAAACGCGACAAGACCCACGCGGATCCCGTCACTCGATTCAATCACCTTGCTCGTGAACCTCGTGCTTTGAACAATCAATCGCTATCGACTGGAAGTCTACCGGCCCAAGCTAGAGGATCTCATAGTCGGCGAAGTCTACGTTTTTTTTGCACGGCCTCTAGAACGGCAGGCAGTTAGTTATCCGCAACGACTCGCCACTTGCGAGTACAATCGCATACAATTGACCAAAGAGACATGCATGACGGCATTTTTCGAATGCTACGTCCGGACTTAATGTTACACCAGTATATAATACGACACAAGGCACCCTCGTGTCATCGATTGTTGGCTTTCAAGGACTCAAAAATCGACTTGACGGCATGATCGTCGCTTTGACGATCTACTTACTCAAGGAGCTTCGTGAACGGGTTTGTCTGATCTGCAGACAGCTGTACATACAGCGTGATTTCCTCCTGCTCACAAAATTCACTCTACTCACAACTCTCCTCACATATTCATCAATAGACATTATTCAAACTTCTTTCAAAATGTCACTCATCACGCTCCCGGTTGAGAGGTACCTGTATGTACAGACAGAATCGTCAAGGTAAAAAAAACAAGCTCAACCTCCACTGGCACAAAACGCATCCCAAGACTGACGAACTAGTTCACGCCAGAATCGAATGAGAATGGTGGCCAGACAGACAAATACGAAAAGTATTCATTCAGAAATCGTGGACAACACCTTGCAATCGGATCTTGTCAACCTTCATGTTGGTACTATTAATCCTCAGACAAGTCATTTGCAATTATCTACGTGGACGACGCCATTATCGCTGCGTCTACAAGGGATGAAGTCGATGCGATCAGGAAAAAAAAGGAACTGGATAACGAATATCCGCTGAAGGAACTAGGAGAACCCGATAAATTTCTCGGTTGCCACTTGATCCGCGACTATATGACAATGCTACTATTGTTCTTTCCTTTCGCAAGCGCCTTACGTTGACAAGTCTCAAGAAGATGCCGATGGATCCCAAATATCTCCAGCTCGCGTGACAATAACGGAGCGAGCTTTACAAGCAGACTATTATTGCTCCCGGTTGGAACAGCGTCAAAAAAAAAAGGACGCAAGAAGTGTGAGGTTCTGAGAGTTTTCTGGAACGTTCAAACCATTTTCAACAACACGGATTTTTAGCTCAACCGAATTACAATGCGAATATATACATATCAGGGTCAACTGTCTCCGATTCAAGTTAATACGCTCTAGTGGGCTAGTTACACGTCAACAAATTTATGTACATTCAGATGCAACTTGCCAGCTTCTGCTAGCTGGTGCCCTTCATTCATGGGCTTCCCTTTCCGACTGTCCAGCGCCGGTTAGACCTGCAGGACTATCAATCCATTCGAAAAGGAGCAGTATGTACAGTACATGCGCAGGCACGAGCACCTGACAAAAACCAGGGGCTCGTGTCATGCTGATCAGTTCATACATACAAAGACGGGAAGAGCGCGATCGCGAGGGTCTGCTGTCAGAGAGCAGTCCGCTACATTGTTTTCTTTTACTGTTCATTTTTGCTTATCGCGAGCGAGTCATTGTCAGGAAAGACAAGACAAGAGATTCTTCGCCGCGAGCACCCAACCAGCAGCGATGGAATATGAGTCGATTAATTAATCCCTTGCGGAAGAAATGGAGCGCCTCTTCAGATAGATGACCATCATACTGTACGGAATTCGAGTCAGATGAGGAAAGTCAGAGCAGAGAAACAACAGGGATTAGCGGGAAAAAAAAAGTGAAAATACTGTCTCACTGATTTTGAAAAATCGGTCATCTACTTCTGGCGCGGTTGATTTATGACTGACCGCCTGGGAGTAAAAAGAAAGAAAGAGAAGAAAGAGAAAAACACGCCTATCTTACGGCACTTTTTCCGGCACATTGTCAACAGTTCGACCGATGAGGACCTGGACGATGTCTCTTCGGGGAGCATCCCCGTAGAATTTCCCTTTTCTCTCTTTACCTTATCCGCACCGCGTACGATTTCTACATTGCATATATTAGATCTGCATCAATATCCCAGTGTCTAATATATCAATCACAAAAATGTACGCTTTCATTTCTCGGGCATTGGCATCTCTCTCCTCAAGCAGGGCGGACCATGGTGCAGCAGTCATCACTGCGCTACGGGAGTTATTGGGGAGATTGACAGACGGATCCTGCTCGGATCCTTCGCGCTGAGGTCGATCATAAGTGGATGGGGTTTCTGCAGAGCTGCCCACGAATGGCCATGTAGGGGGCATAAGAGGGAGTCAAGGAGGGAGACCAGGGAAAGTCCTGGCGTCCGAAGTGGTGGCGAGTTCATCCGGCTACTACTGCGTGGGCAAGGACGACACGAATACGAGTTGACGAGTCTACCGCTCCGATTTCCCTGCACAGGCTGCTGTCCCTGCCGCTCAGAGTTCCTTGGTCCTCAAACAATTTCTTGTATCCGTTTATGTTGAGAACGGAAGAGCACTGATACCAGACTGGAATGTTACCGTCAACCTTCGGCCGCGAGGAATTCGACACTGGCCTGGCTGACCGGAATCCAAGGTTGAGACTTATGTTGGTCTGCTCGACTTGTCTCAGACAGCCCTACCATATGCAGCAGAACTAGCTGCTACCAGAAGAATCCGGGTCAACTTGATACTTTCAGATCAACCGGGATCCCAGTGTCAATCACCAGAAGCGAAGCCAGTTCAGGAAGGTCAAAAGATCCGGGCATTCTGAGTATTCTCAAGAAAAGATTGGTACGGGACCAGCATACTCTGGAGTACATGTCTCGTCCGTGAGTGAACAGTCGGTGAAATAGCTGGTGGGGGAGCATTCTGCATGTTTCTGGTGTTGACGTCGGTGATGTAACACAATATTTGATGTATGTACCTAATAGCATAGCATGTTCAGTTCAAATCCACACACTGTATTTATTTTCTTTCGTTGTGTCATGCAATCTTCGATCAGGATCTGTGACACAAGTCCATGTAGCAATGTGAAACGCGTCTCATCCCTGAAGGAAGGCATGAACCCTGCATATGGTCTCCTTTGTTGCTCCGCACTCCGTACAAGCGAAGAACCCACAAGGCATTTCCTCGAAAATGGCTCTCATCCTGTTGCAACGTCGCGGGCGCCATGTGGAGAGGCGAGAAGAGAAATTGACTCGAGACGATCCTTGGCGAATGGCCTCGGCTATCGATAAGATAACAACAGCCTATCACAGTTAGCCTGATCGCTCCTTCTGCATCCAAGGTTCAGCCCAGCCAAACTATGGACAGGATGGAGTTCGCTTCCCGTATTGCTCGCTGATGGCATCCAGTGCAGCTGCCAGTCGACTCAGTCAGGCAAACTACCAGGATGGAGGTCCAGCCGATCCCACTATACACCCTGGCCAGATCGACAGTCGTTTTTTTTTTTAGCGCTGGACCGAGAATACTCCGTGTGCTGCACTCCCAGCGCGTAGTGTCGGGTACGGATAAGAATCCTGTCGGAGGAGAAGGCCGTCGAGGCAGCAGATGAAACAGGAAGGTCCCTTCGCGCGCAGGTCCATTATTAGTTAATGGGAACAGGCCGGGCAGCCCAAAAGAGCAGTTGGTTGCCAGCAGGCGTACCGCTGGGCTGGGGTTAACAGTGAACTTGGCGACGGCCTGAGCGTGCGATCCGGCACCGAGAGGCCGGACGTTGCAGGAAGGCACGACCTACCAGTGGCCGACGGCACAACAAAGGCAGGCGCGCTCCCAGCCCAGCGGTCGGCCGCTAGCCCGATCAGGCAGGCGCAATGCCGGCCGCCAGCCTGCTCCGAGGCTCCAGCCAGATTAGGCAGCTGCAAAGGCGGCCGGTGGAGAGCTCAGCGTGACCGTCCGGTCGCTGCCTTTAAGAGACATTATTCGAGCATCCATCCTGAAGCATTCCGGAGACTGTCTCCTGATCTGCTCATCATATTTATATCAAGAGCCTGCCACGGCCCGGACGCCATGCTCCCTCCCAGTCCTCTCCCGCAGCCCACGCCCGTGTCCGCCATCGACCATGAGTCTGGCTGACCAGTTCAAGACGGTCCATGTCGGCCGCCACCACAAGCACCTGAAATGGTCCAAGAAAGAGGCGCCCGTCCTGACCGTCTCGTCCGGCGACGTCGTCACCTTCGACACCATCGACAGCAGCAACGGCCAGATCAGCAAGGATTCCGACGTCTCCGCCCTCAACGCCTTCAAGATCGAGCTGGCTGACCCGGCCTTCGGGCCCGTCTATGTTCGGGATGCCGAACCCGGCGATGCCCTCAAGGTCGAGATTCTCGCCCTGGAAACGGGCGACTGGGGCTGGACGGCCGTCGTCCCAGGGTTCGGGCTGCTGGCCGATGACTTCTCAGAAGCCGATATCAAGATCTGGAAATTCGACCCCGCGTCTGGCTACGCTGAGCTGAAGAAAGGCGTGCGGGTTCCGCTGCGACCCTTCTTGGGGATCATGGGCGTGGCGCCCGCTGCTGACGGCGAATTCTCCACGATTCCCCCTACCGACGCCGGAGGAAACGTCGATTGCCGGGATCTGACGGTGGGCTCGACGCTCTATCTCCCTGTCCAAGTTCCCGGGGCCTTGTTCAGCTGTGGCGACGGCCACGCCGCCCAGGGACAAGGCGAAGTGTGCGGAAGTGCTATCGAGACGCCCATGAAGGCCACCCTGCGGCTCACCGTGTGCAAGAATCACCCCTGGGTGACCTCGCCCCATCTACAGACTCCTCCCGAAACACCGCCCATCTACCCGGTTGTGGATAAAGGGCGGTATGCGACGATGGGACTGGACTCGGATTTGTTGGAGGCCACCAAGAAGGCGGTCCGACACATGATCGAATGGCTCGTCGCCACCAAGGGGCTGACCCGGAGTGAAGCATACATCCTGGCCAGTGTGGCAGGGGATCTGAAGATGGCAGAGGTCGTGGATATGCCCAACCATGCGGTCACCATGAGCATTCCGTTGAACATTTTCGAATGAGCTGTTTGAAACCAGCACTGGACTCTACGATAATATTCCGCATCTCGACTGGGGACTGGGAGAACTGGCATATTAATTTTCGCTTTGTTGACATATTACGATGTAATTAAATTAATTCGTCTTTTGTCTTCTGTTCTACGTCTGAGGGAGTTTGGATGCAATAATCTGCGTATGCAATGATGCTTTGCTTGTGCTCGCCATGACCTGGGACAGTGTTATTTGATATCCTGCATTATTAATACTACTAGTTACTACTAGAATGAATCATACTTATAATAATACATCACCGAGGCATGCGTGCTTCATGACCATGACGTGGAATAACAAATCAATAACCCTTAATTCTAAGAATTAGACCATCTACCTATCAAGGAAGGTCATATGCCTAGGTATGTAGGGAGTATGAATAATGTGCATTCTATATTTAAAGAACACGTACTCCTAAAGTATAAAGTAATAATACGTACTCCGTACATACGTAGGCAACCGTGGGACTCCTAACCACCTTCCTATTTAGGCAGGTACCTAGAAGCTCCAACCCATCCACCAAGTAATAGGTATTATTTTACTCCCCGGGGAAAAAGAAAAAAAAATCGTGAATCTTAGGTAGGTAGGCTGGAGCCTGAGGCCTCCACTTGAGGTAGTGAAACGTGCTTGTTTCAGCCTTAAGAAGGCTTGGCACGGATATTACTATTCCATACGGGGAATTTGTACCCGCTCCTCGGAGTGGATAGAACAAATTACCTACCTAAATCGGTAGGTAGGTAAGTACATACCGAGAAGACGAAGTCCATACGAATACGGAGTGTTGTTATTATTGTTTATCCCAGCTATTTTATTATTAATAATTGGGAGTTTCAGATTGGACAGGGGGGGATAGAAGGGGAAGGGGGAAAGCAGCGGACTCTGGTCTAGGGAAGAGCTCAGCTCAGCTCAGCTCGGGCTTGTAGAGTAGAGACGGTCGATTTCTCAAACCGCTGGGTTGGTTGGAAGTATGTTTTCGCGTGCTGACTTCATCAGTTTTATATTATTTGTCTTCCTGGTTTTTTTCTTTTCCTTGTCCCTTCCAATACTGGTTCAAACTTATAACTACAAGGAATGATAATGGAAATGGCATTTAATGTCCAAAATACTGTATCTATCGAGTACTAAACAAAAACAATTTTGAGCTAGCCTTTTTGGAAAGACCTTTAGCAAAGACAAATAACTATTCTTCTAAGGTGTTTTTCTCTAACTAATGCTTAGGAAACCAGTGAATGTTGTGATGTTCTTAATAATACTCCGTAGTGGAATGGTCATACGTTTAGAAAGATACTCCGGACTCCGGAGTATGTCCCGCTTAAAGACTACTCCGGACAAGCTTGGCTCCGAATACCTGTCACATGACTTCGCGTTGTAGCGCGTCCCGCCAACACGTCCGCTTCAACACGGAATACAACGAGCGGTCGTGTTGACTCTCCCCACGAACATCTCCCGGCGTCAATGGACCCCATTCTCGATGGGCTGAATTCTGCTCAGCGCACCGCCGTCACCTCCCCGGCCTCGATCCTCCAAGTCCTCGCTCCCCCCGGCTCCGGCAAGACGAAGACGCTGACGGCGCGCGTCGCCTATCTCCTGTCGCACCATGGCTTCCGGCCCCAGGACGTCATCTGCTGCACCTTCACCATCAAGGCGAGTCGCGAGATGCGCGAGCGCATCGCCAAGCTGATCGGCGAGCAACTCGAGTCGAAGCTCATCCTCGGCACGTTTCATTCCATCTGTCGCCGCTATCTCGTCGCGTACGGCCATCTGATCGGGCTGAAGAAGGGGTTTGGCATCGCAGACAGCGATGATAGTCTGGCCATTATCAAAGTAGGGGATACTTGAGAAAGGCCCTCTTTTAAAGGAAAGAAAATTACTTTTGCTTACAAAAAGGTTTTTGCGTTTGTCAATGGTAGAGGGTCGTCAAGCGCCTTAAGGTCAATATCCAACCCAACACGGCGCGATCGAGGATTTCGAGTTGCAAAGCTCAAGGCATCGGCTGGGAGGAGTTGGCGGAGAGACATCAGAAGAAAAGCGTCGAGCAGCAGGAGTTTGTCCAGGTTTACCGAGAGTACGAGTCGGCATTGGCTAATTCGAACCTGCTCGACTACGATGATCTGCTGCTGCGATGTGTGGATCTCCTCCGACAGCATCCACACTGCGTGTCGAACGTGCAGGCCGTCCTCGTGGACGAGTTTCAGGATACGAATCGGATACAGTTCGAGCTGATGAACCTCTTTGCGGCCAAGAACAGACGCATCACCATCGTCGGAGACCCGGACCAGAGTATCTACGGATTCCGCTCGGCGGAGATCAAGAATCTGGAGCGCATGCAACGGCTGTACAAGGACACCGCGGTGGTGCTGCTGGAAGATAACTACCGTTCGTCGGGGGCGATTCTGAGTTCTGCCGAGGAGGTCATCGAGCAAGACACGTCTCGACCCGCGAAGAAGCTACATCCTACGCACGGCATGGGCACGATGCCTGTCCTACGAAAGCTACCTACGGCGGCTGCGGAAGCCCAATGGCTCGTCACCGAGATCAAGAGATGCATCGCTCTGACGGGAAATCTCCTCAAACCGTCTGATTTCGCAGTGCTCCTCCGGTCGGCGTCCCTGTCTCGCCAGATCGAATCGGAGCTGGGCAAGCAAGGAATCCCATATCGGATGGTAGGTGGCTTCCGGTTCTTCGACCGAGTTGAGATCAAACTCCTGCTCGACTATCTCCGTGTCGTGAGCCACCCGGAAAATACGGACGCACTGAGCCGTATCATCAATGTGCCATCTCGAAGGATCGGTGACGAGACGGTGAAAATCCTGACGGCAGGGGCAGAGGAGTCCAACATGCCATTGTGGACCTTTGTCAAAGAGGTGGCGCAGGGTCGCCGGTCGACCAAGAAGAGTCTGTCCAAGGCTGCGGACAAGGGCTTGAGCGCTTTTGTTGGCTTGATAGAGAGTGCAAGGCAGAAGTTGCAGGAAAGTACCGATGATTCCGCGCCTCGAATCATACTGGAATTTCTGATCAAGAAGCTTTCGTTCCGGGAATATCTCACGGCGACGTATCCGCTGGATGAGGAGAGTCGCTGGGCCAACGTCGAAGAGCTCTTGGCCCAGGCCGGGGACGCTTCGAACTCCGCCATAACCGAGCACGAGGACAGCCTGCCTGAGATCGAGGGCCTTGAGCAACGACAGGGGCATCCTGGTGAGGAAGCCCTGGCACGTTTTCTGGCCAATGTCGCCCTGTCCACGGAGGTCACCCCCGAGGATGGCGAGCAGCCTCAGGAGAAGGTCACCATCTCAACCATCCATGCGGCCAAAGGGTTGGAGTGGCCGGTCGTGTTCGTTGCGGCTGTCTACGAGGGAATTATCCCGCATTCGCGAGCCGAAGACAGCGATGAAGAACGACGTCTGTTGTACGTGGCCATGACAAGGGCGCAGGCGCTCCTGTATCTCAGCTTTCCACGCCGGGATTCCAAGAACGGCGAGGAGACAACCCAGAGCTCGTTTCTGCCGCAGAAAATCATCGAGAGTCGGTTCCGTCCGACGGGGCCCCAGTTCCATGACAAGGCAGTGTTTGGAATCGCCGACATTCTCCGTCGGGCGCGACCGACACAGGAGGACATGTTGCGAGGCATGGAGGGCCTTCCAAGCGTGTATGATGACCTGTGGACGGCCGATGGGGAGGAGACGCCTGGGACGGCCACCAGATGGGACGGCACCCGGGCGCTGCAACCGACCGATGACCAGGAGCCCTGGGCGAAGCGACGCAGGCTAGACCAGGAAGACAACCGGTTTGGGGGTGGGTATGTCGCATCGTCGACTTACACGATGAACAATGCGGCCAGTTTCTCCGTCTCAAACACCACCCTCTCGCTAGGGTTCTCGACGGCAAGGCAACATCTGGCGACGACGACGCAAGCGACGGGCCAGAACAAGCCGATCAAAGAGACGACGACGACAGGTCGGAAAACAGGCGGATTGACCCAGGGGACGATATCGAGTTTCTTTGGCCAACCGGGAGGGAAGCCACAAGGCTCCAGACCGCTCTTTTCGACGACAATTCCGGCAGCCAGAACAGGGCAAGACGAGCAAATCGGAAGTGGCGTCGAGCAAGGCTCGGTTCCCCGGCAGGCGCAGCAGCAGCAGCAGCGGCAGCAGCAGCGGCTCCCAGAAGAGCTCACCGAGCATCGGGTCCAGCCACAGCGATTCAAGCCACCACGGCCAGTGCTGGAGGGATCCGATCCCAACCGACGATACACGTGGCTGTCGGGGCCGAAAGAAGCCTCGACGAAAAGGGACGAAGGGTCCACGGAAACAGAGACGACGACAGAGACGGCGAGGGCGGCGAGCGGTGAGATTAAAAGTTCTGGCAGCGTCGCCAACGACGTCCGTCCGGCTGCCACGTACCACACGACGACGATGTCGATGGTACGGCAGACGGTGAGAAAGACGCTAGGGATCCGGCGGAGCATGCACGACGGGTGGGCGGAGCGAATGAGCAGGGAGAGCAGGGCGAGTAATGCGAGCAAGGCGAGCAATAATAATGAGAGGGCGTAAACATAACCCAGTTTCTACTCCGTAGAGTGTATATTATTGGCCATAACGATGATTTATGCGCGCATATCCACCGAATGAGAAGAAAGAACCATCTTATGCAGTACAGAGTAGTACATAGAGAGTATAGTGCCGTAGCGGAGTGTGTTGAGTAGGTATGTTGACTGGTGCCACGCATGCAGTAAGTAGTCAGGTACAGTACGGTACCTACCTACATTATTACTACCTTAGCCCATTTGGGTTGGATAATGGCAGGATTTCTTCCTATTTGGCCATGAAATATTATCAAGGCCATTCATTTTTTTTCTGTCTACAATTACATTGGACTGTACTGGATATTACATAATCAGTCTACAGAATCCAGACGACTTGTCACAAGTCAGTCAGGTCAGGTGATGCGGTGTGTATGTACTCTGTAATCGTATACAGTATGTACTACTGTACTGTATGTACATACATACATATGTAGGTAGATAGGTAGGTAGGTCGAAATATCATTCAAAAATCAAATATATATACGAGCAGCTAGCGCCCTCTCTCTTGCCTGAAACTGGACATTGACATTGACATTGCCGCTTTATGGAACAGGGTGAACCGAGTGAGTCGGGTGATCAACTTTACTTACCCTGTAATACCTAATTCTTGCCTTTTTTTAATGTCTTTAATTATATCTAAAGTTAATAGAAGCTTCTATCTAGGTTTAGAATCTTAAATATAGGTAGTGCCAAAAAAGAAAAGCTTTACCTAGGAATGCAGAGAAACGTCCTGTGAAGAAGTGGAAGACATGCTTAGAACCAGACTGATGGGCGACGAAATCCAGTCAGCGATTCAGCAATCCAGGAGATGAGGTTTTAGCCAGCTGATACCTAGGTATATAGTTGGAGTCTTCTTTTTGGAACAACATCTACAGTACCTCGCTTCTGCCTGCTTCTGCCTGAATTACATGACAGGCTCTTCCAAAAGTGACTCACTCGCAGACTTGCACTTTTAGAATCTCCATTCACATCACACTGAAAACTTCTCATAAGACTCTGATATCTCAATCGTACCAACATTCTTGTCCCTGAAAGAAAAAAATTTAACTGGCGCTGGCTGAATGGATTCTTACCTCTTCCCAGATGGTGTCACGCTAAGGAAATACATCGGCGAGGTTCTTACGGTGCAGAACAATAATGACTTCAAACTTACGGAGCTCGTGTCTGAGAAGCAGCGCAATGAGTACAACGAGCGTTGGGCGGTCTTTCAGTCCAGGAAAGTGGACACGGAAAGCGACGTTTTCGTCCTGAAGCTTCGGTTTCAGTATGTACATACGTCTGTCTTCTTGTCTCTTCTAGCTTTACTTTTTGGGTGTTGAATCCACTGAGGAAAAGCCAAACCAACTGAGAATTTTTTTTCCTTCCAGGTTGGACCCATTCTTACTCCGTCAACTCAGCCAGGACGACAGGGATTGCATTCTCGTCAAGGGAAAACGTCGTTTTGAAAATGAATGCAACGCGCTCACCAGCTGTGAAGGGTCGGGGGTAACGCCCAAATTTTTCTACAAGGATGAGCTCCAGCAAACTAATAATACCAGCCCATTCTTCCCTGGGGGGGGTACTTGCGTGTTATCGTCATGTCGAAGGTTGCCGGGAAGAGTGTTGTCGACTTCCACTATGACGACCTATCACAGGGAGACCGACGCCTTATCAGGATAAGACTTACTCAAACTCTCGAGTAAGACTACTATCCAACATGAAATTAAGCAGTCTAGAAATGTCACTGACAATTCCCCACTTTTGCGAAGGTACATACGCCTTCGAGGCTTTGTCTTCTTTGAACCTGAAACAGAGCAGATATTCTATGAGCGATCCACAGGACGGATGTACGTTTTATATCTGTCTTTTTTACATCTAGTATATTCCTATATAGGAGCTCTAACAGGTTTCAAGGTCTCTAGTAGGCCTATCTCGGGCTCACCGGGAGCTGTTTCCACCAGAGCAGGGCACACCGATCACTGAAGGTTCGATCGACGTGCTTGCCTTTGGGATGGGATGGTCACTCAGTTGAAATCGATTAACTCATGTACGGAGTATGTATGTATGTACAGTACATACTGTGCCTAGGTGCTGTACATGGGTAATAATCGTATTTACTTAGTAAGTAAGAGTAGGACAGACTGCTTTGCTGTACCGGGCAGTCCTTTAGAGCCCTCAGAGCCCTCCTCAGTTGAATGTCGAATTTGATAATAATGGAATAAATTGAAAGTCTGGAACGGGCATAAGTAAGGCTTCATTCATTCATTTTCTTCATTCAAGGAATTCAAGAACAAGGACAAGGGCAGAACAAGGGTACACAAGAAACCGGGTACCTGCTGCAGCCTGCCTGCTGCCTGGATGACGTAGTACAGAGTGCTTACTCCATACCTTACTCAAAGGCATTATATCACGTGAGACTGAGACAGCTTAGCCTCATTATTGTCATACTCGTACTGTCATACTCCTGGTGTGGTGGCTTGGCTGAGACTCTGACACCTGGACAGGTTGGATTGGATGATTGGATGGCTGAATTGGGTATTATTATCCTGTCAGGACAAGTCAGCCCCGCCACAACACACACACACACACA